TACCTCTAATCGCAGATAATATGAAGGACACTCCGTTCACAGTGTGATTTCATACGCGATTAAAAAGGCTGGGGAATTGTTTGTGTCTTCTCAGCTTATACTAGTTTCGTCTTGCATATAAAGGCAAAACCTTATATAGTGCACTGTTTAGGTTATAATGATTTTTTTGGACTAAAAATTTTAGTGAGAACGTTAGAGTAAGTTCTATTCGAATCGACGACGACGGAAAGCTTTTAAATGGATAGACACGGTTGAATTTAATGTAAGGAAGAATGAATTAGTTTATATGCCTCTGTGTCCTTATTATACGGTTTAAGATGTAAAATGTCTACTAGGACATAATTTATTAATAGGACTTATTATACCGGTGATTTCGTTCTGCAAATTTAAGGAAAACTAATCAGAAAAAGCACCTGTAAAAATAAAGACTATGTTTCTGATTAGTTTTCCTTAAATTTGCAGAACGAAATCACTGGTATAATAAGTCCTATTAATAAATTGTGTCCTAGTAGACATTTTATATACTAAAGAATGAATTAGGTAGAATATTTTATAAAACAAGCCACATTCGTCACAACTACCGATTATTGGCCTTATAACGCAAAATGTACTACTGTTGACAAAACAATAACTTAAATAAGATATCTCGTCCATTGTCATTAGAAAAGTACAACGACTTAATCGCTCTTTGCTCTGGACCAACATCAATAATAAATTTAACCGAACATGTCCATTTTTATAAATATTTGCCTCATTCGACAGAGTAAAAGAAAGAAAGGGAAGTTGTTACACAGTTTGTCAAAAAGGTATCGTTCATTTTTGTGTTTATTGTTGATTTTATGCTTGTCATTAAAAACTCTTCGGTACAATAGTGTCTCTTTTCATTTTGTTTTTATTGCGTACAAAAGATTTTATTTTAATAGCAATCAGTTGATTTAGTTACTTTCAGCCAAATTTTAAAATTAAATCGTAGTTATGTCTTAATTCTAAAAGGTGTATCTCATTAAATCAGCAGACAGCTTTTTGTTATTAGCAAAACATAAAGGTGTATCTCAAAATAATGCTTCAAAATAACGATAATAATGATGCCAGCAATAAACTTGTGTGTTTATAGTATTTACCAAGTACTGTAAACGAAAATTTGATGAAAGCGGTGCTTTATACTCAATACTTTCTTATTTACGAAGAAAATAAGAAAGTCCCTTTTTTTAAATCGCTCTTCCTGTAATGTTGAACGAAATGAGAAACGCCCTTACGTATTTTCAACGGCGATTTAATGTATGTGAAAACGGTGTGTGTACGAGGTGAAGCAAAAGGCGGGACATTTTAATGGATGCGGGCCTTTAGAAGCAACACCGTTAAGTAAGAAGTCCAGATCACTAGCCATATGGCCAACTTAAAAAATTTCCAATTCCTGTGATCGCTCGCTTGAACTTTGTTAGTCTTCTCGAACGATTCGTTCTTCCAAGTGTAACATAACTCATATTTCTTGAACAGTTATTATTACCTATAATAAAAAGTTAGGCCCTCTCTTAGGGCCTGACATTTTTATATACACCATTATAGGAAAGCCCTGTCATACGTTATAGCTTAGGGCTACAAAGGTTTAAGTCCAGCTCCGCATCGTGGGATTTCTGAATATGAATATTTGTTTGTACACAAGTCCAGAAGAAGTATTCTCGATGATGGCTTGCGACATTTTATAGTCAAATAGAATAGAGTTAAACCGAATAAGTCGTCGATAGAAAACGTATAGGCTACAGTAGACGTAACAATATCGCTATTGTTATAACGTAACAAATTAAGATTCGATTGAATAATGGAACAACCGTCTAGCATTTAACAAGCATCGGTTTTCACTGGGTATTAACTCCTCCATTTTCTTTCGTATAGAAATGTACACCGCCAGATCGGATGATGTAAGATTAGTAGAGAAGTTGAATGGACGATGCCACTTCAATCGAGCAGAGATTAAGATGCTGATCGACATCTACAGAGAAGTATGCGGACATTCGGTCATGGACAAGGCCACCTTTATCGATTTTCTTCAGAATACTTTCGATATGACAGACGATCCCGTCATAGAAAGGATCTTCAGGATCTTCAATAAAAGCAACAACGGGAAGATAAGCGTGGAAGAATGGATACAAGGTCTATCAGTTTTTCTGTGCGGCACCATGGAGGAGAAGATGAACTTTTGTTTTCGCGTTTACGATCTGGGAGGTAACGGTTGCATTTCTCGAGAAGATCTTTACTCTTTACTGAAGCATAGGATACAGAAGACCGGAGACGAAGACCCCGAAGACGTCACTAAAGACTTTATAGATATGATCATCGATAAAATGGATTACGATCGAGACGATCATTTGTCTTTCTCGGACTATAAGAAAAGTGTACAACAGGAACCTCTTCTTCTGCAAGCTTTTGGTCCCTGCTTGCCCGAAGATAAAGTTCGAATAACATTTCTCGCGCTATTCAAGAAAACCACTCCGAAGTGGAGATGAGTCGATATAAAGCCGCAACACGCTTTCACACTAGTATATTTGCTGCCTGATCTACAACTAAAAAAATTCTCCGATCATACAGATCTAGAACATATGAAAAATATATAATTTAAAGTCAATTAAATTTTCTGGTATTAATTTTTGGCGTTTTTTATTTTTATTTATTTTTTTTTAGAAACACGCGAAATTACTGTTTATCAAATAATAAAAGGCGATTATCTTAGTTAAGTTTCAAAATGTTTGCTTAAATTTTTACAAAGCGGTAAATTGGCACAAATTTACAAATTAAGAATTAAAAATTGCTAATTCTTCAAATTCATTATTACTTTAAAATCTCCATTGTAATTCTGCAAATTTCCATAATTCTGTCACTTTATTTTAAAATGACGGCTAAGTTAATAGATTTAGTGGAAGAATTTACGATAATTTGTATGATAAAAATCTGTGTGTGTTTAGCACACTGTTGCTAAAATCACGTACGAGTGGCGACATGAAATGGAATCGCGCTTCCACTTTAAGGATCCGAGTTCGTGACGCATTTCAAGTCGAATCCAACTTACTACTCCTATAAAAATTCGAATAAAATATTTTGTTTTAATTTCTACAGATCAGATATGCATACATTTTCTCAAATATGTGGGTGAAAGATCGAATATTTGGTTATATTATTATACATTCGAACCATCACGGTATATGTCGAGAAAGGGCAGATAGGCTCTGGTGGAGTTTATCTGCTCTTGTCCACAAAGACACAGGCAGAGTGAAGCGACAAAAACGCCGAATCGTTTGTTCTTTCGGGCCAAATCCTCTGTCGCGTCGAGGTCACGTGGCATCTGTTTGTTACACTCTTCGACACTCCGCTGTTTGCCAGTCTTATGTAAGGTTTGCTGGTGCGGGCAACGTTTGCTAAATTTTTATTTTTTTATCCTATATTCTAATTTATATTAATGACTACTGCGGTGAACCCTGTTTTTTTTTCTTTTTGAAAAGTTACGTGTATTAATTTCGAGTAAACCAGAAGGCAATTATTTTTATTTTTCTCGAGAAAAGAAACCCACTTTAAAATACTTTGTGAAGTGGTTTCTACTAAAACTAAGTGCAGTACATCTTTGGATCGAAGACGATTAAAACGCTTTAAAAATTAATGAGGAAGAGAAGTTAATTGTACCATTAAAACCGGGCGGAACGAATACATTGGTGGAAATTTCGACGTCTCTTTTTTCTGATCCATCTCTGATTTACTGTTTTCCTTTTAGACACGTAAAGAGAGCCCGATAAATTCCACTCGGTTACCGAATCACGTTTCTGACATTTTGCTGTTACAAAGGACACGCTTTCTTCTAGCCCATGGCCAACATATGGCACGCGTGCCCAAAGTGGCACGTAATGAGAAATTATCTGGCACGTAACGTATCGTACGATTTCAATTTATCGTTTGTCTGTTTCAATCNCCGAATCACGTTTCTGACATTTTGCTCTTACAAAGGACACGCTTTCTTCTAGCCCAGGGTCAACCTATGGCACGCGTGCCCAAAGTGGCACGTAATGAGAAATTATCTGGCACGTAACGTATCGTACGATTTCAATTTATCGTTTGTCTGTTTCAATCATTTTTTCGGTTCCAATCAGCTTTTTCTCATTCATTCTAAAGCATAGTCGTTAAATGTCTTTAAATATCGTTATTCGAAGTCTAAAACTTTGTCGGGCGTAAACGTCTTTAAAGTTAAGTATGCTTACAATATGGCGCGAGCACTCAAAAAGGTTTACCATCCCTGTTCTAGCCTATTCCGTTAGAACGACATTATCTGTAGAGTGTTTCTAACAGAAATTGGAACAACAGTCACCAAAAGAACCCAGTAGCATTCGTGAAGTACCATATTTCTTCGATAAAGATCTCGCAATAGAACGACGGAAATCTAAGATATCATCACCACCTTCTTAAGATTTTGCCAGTGAAATACATTAGCCAAAATAGTAGGCCCTCACTATATACATCAATACGGTGCGGCGTGATGTTTGTGGGGACACGTACACGATAATTAAATTCTATATTAGGTTATGCTTATCGGGTTTCGGGATGGAGAGCTTAGTGGGTCACTTCCCTAAAACATCATTAAAACGCATCGTTTTCGTGCCCCTAAAATTTCGGTTTTCTGTCTTAATTAGAGGTGGATAAAGTTTGAATTACAAGGTTTGAGGACACGATACAAAGTAATTTAAAAGTCTGAAAGTCAGCGCAATATTTTTCTACGTAGTTTGTTGTTATTTTGATTGAATTATCAATAAAGTGCACTTATACCGTATCTCTAATTCTGTACTATAAACAGAGGCTCACATTTATCTCTTTGCCTCGGGCGAAGAATTTACTTGCCCTAGCACTACCGGGAAACTATATCGTGCGACAGAACTCTTTTATTATAAAACGCTTATTAAGCATAAATACGCAACAGAAACTTATCACGTGTTATCTCAAACCATAGTTCTTTTTATCACCTTCAAAATAATATCCTCGTATAGGCTATTACGTTTATTACCTAGACATAACTAGAACACAGTTGGTAAGTAGTTATTTGTTTAAAATTTATGATGAGTTGTGTTTCATAGAATAAATTTATTAACAAATTATATTAAAAAAGGAGAGATTTATAAGCTAAACTGGTGTAAATTCGAGTTTAAATCTGTATTTCCTTAACCTAATTAAACTGACATTATTTTCGTAAATGCTATGTACACTACATTATCAAAGCAAAGACACTCACTATTTAAATTATTTTTGCTTGCAATATTGCTGCCTCGATACTACTTATTGTAGGCCAAGTGTATCTGGACAACATTATCTTCCCTCAATATATTCCTGATTTATAACGTTTATTTACTTTGATACTAGAAACACTATTCTAAGATTATTCATCGGGTAACAAAGTTCACAAATCGGTATCAAATGAATGATTAAAAACAAAATAATATATTTCTATCGAATATTTAATGAATAATAACATTAAATTTCATAAATGATCACCTTTATGACGAAATTTCGTAAGAAAATTTACACGTAGATACTCTTATCGATGAAATTTTGATACAACTCATTAGTAAAACTAGAGCTAGAGACAAATTTTATAAACGAAATAATAATTAATGTTTTCTTTAAAAGGCTAAAATGTGCGGGGATGAAAACATTTCGAGAAGAAGAAAATGGTGCCACCATTCTTCTTTTTTACTTTGTCTTAAGATTAGTCAGATCATCTTTCTATTAATTGCAATCAGTGAAGTCATTTCTGGAATAGTTCACCTGTTATTAAAACTCGACAGTGGATTCGTACAGCTAATCATCGGCAATATATTCCTACTTAATTTTATTCTGTTAAGATGTATCACTTTTCGAATTAGCCAGTCACGAAACGAATTAGTAGAAGAAATAGTACCAACTGCACAAATATCGAGACAATCTTCATTCACTTATCTGGAACTTTCGGTTTTCTCGGGCATTGGCGAAAGGGTTGCCGAATTTTCCGACACTCGGTACGTTGAAACTGACCATCGAACCCTTCAATCGTCGTTAGTGTTCGAACGAAATAGAGAAAATGATGTAGAGTTACCTTCGATATCCAACCAAATCTGTCAGAATTATCTGGAGTTACCATCAACATCCAGTCAAATCCCTCAGAATTATCCAGAATCGGCATCGACGAGCAGCCAAATCTCTCGGAGTTCTTTAGAATCACCACTAATGTCCGGCCAAACATTTCCGGAATATTCGAAATTACTACCAACGACTAGTCAAATCTTTGGAAATTTTTTCGAATATCATCATCATCCAGCCAAATTATTGAAGACTACGTGGTATTACCATTACAATCCAGCTACACTATCAAAAACTGTCTGGAATTCTCATCAACATCCAGCGAGACTCACCAAAGTAGTTACGAATTACGTCAATCAACCGGCAAAAATTTCAAGTGTCATTTGTAAATACCATTATAGTCCAGCTAAAATGCACCAGAGTAAGTGGAAATGTCATCTACATCCCGCTAAATCTCCAAAAATTTCGCACTGACATCAGCATCTAGTCAAAAACTTTGTAAAAATCTCGTAGAATCCACGAAAGATTTTCTTAATCTTTTGTAACAGACATTTCACACGGCAATCTTTATCAGAAAACAGTCGCGCAATGTAAAATGTATAATTTCCTGTATGAAAACAAATTTTTATATTTTTATAAAAAACAAATGTATAGAGAGAAACACTAGGAAACATTTTTCTTCCGCGACCAGTCACTCCATACGGCATTTCCAAACGAAAATGGCTGCTTCCATCGAGAGACTGGCTGATTGGTTGTTCTCTGATCAACTCCGTTGTGAGTTAGACCCGTCCATAATAACGTAATTATTTACACATCGTATTTACACAAGCCTCACAACTATTTGTTACAAATCATTCGTTCCGTGTCTTTATGTACTGTACAGCTTCAAAAAGTTTCTTCTTTTGTCAACTTTTATTATTTAATTATAAAATTATTTTATACACCATCTTGCGCGTTTAATACAGGCCTATAATAATGGCTTCATATACTAAAACAGTGTGGGCCTTTCTTGACATCGAATCGAAGCAGATGCATCGGTTTAAATAAGGTAAACACGACATAAGTGTGACCGGAGGATCGGCACCTGTTCGATGCCCTGTCAGGACTGACACTATTGTGTGTGCGGACGATCGGGCGGGATGGAATGAGAGACGGAAGTGACTCACGCAGACTAGGTTAACAGAACAACCGTTTATTTATAATGGACAGGAAATACATTCTATACAATTTCGATTCTAAATCGAGTATACTAAATCGATTTAAGTTTAGATAGGCGTAATTTCGTGGTTCTCTCTCTCGAGAGAGAGAGAGAGTTTACAGTGGTTCGCGAATTGATAAATACCTTTGAACTGCGAAGTCCCAAAAATCGAATCAAAAGTACGACTAATTATAAAATTCATAAATGGGAGAGTTTCGGAGGTCAAATCCAGTCGGGAAGACATGTTAGTGACAAAACCCAGACAGGAAGAAAACTTTCCTACTTATTGTAAAACAAACGTTCCGCGATGATAAACGGCACGGAGGAGTGTCGACAGAGAGAGAGAGCTTTGTCAAGATGCTGGCGAACAAGTGTCGGATCTGAACAATCGAGAAAAGGGGATTAATGACCAAAAGGACACGTGTGAAGTCACGTAAGCCCGAACCCGTCAGAGTAAATAGCCGCAAGAACATCCGGTAGATCGTTTAGGTTCAAAAACGTCAGAGAAAAAGGGCCATCGCGGAGTAAAATACGAGCGCCGACTTCGAGAGCTCCGTCGACACCTCTCGGACCTTTCTCGACCCGGATCGGTCTGGGGTTTCGCTTAGAGACAAAAGAGTGATTAATCGGGGTAGGGGAGAAGGCGGGACTAATCTAAAGGGTGAGATTGGGGGAAAATCCTATAAAACCTTCGGATCTCGAGGTCAAGGGCGGTTCTCTTATAGACAAGTATTTTCACCAGTGGCCCAAAGATCTTCGTCCATCCGCAGCATCACCCGTCAGAGTCACCTCCCGCGCAACTCCTCTATCAAGGACCCGAGACACACAACTTCGTTCACCGTCATCGGGAGCTCCCCAGCGAAAAACGATCTAGATCGAATTTTCTGTGTCAATATTACGTAAGTTAATTTATGACAAAAATAAAGACACTTTTGTAAGACACTCGTCGTCTCTGCCTCTGCCGCCACCTACCCACATACGATTCGCCCCTAAAAGTCGGCGAGCTTACAGAACGTTGAAGGATCCGGTTGTAGTCTGGCGGCAGGAGAGGACGAGAACAGTTGTGGACAAGGTGTATATGGCTACGTGTCGAGGTAAATTTTCCGGCGAAGTCGATTGAAGTCGAGCGAATCTCGGCCATTAGTGGGTCATTTTGGCGAGAAAGGATTCGGCAGTTTCTTCCTACCGAAATTCTTGAAAAAAAATAGTAAAGTTACCTTACGAGGAACGAAACTACTGATGAGGCCAAGAAGTGTTCTTGATAGTTCGTATATACAAAGGATATAAATACATTATCAGAAATACGATTATACTTTTTATCTCCATTGCAATAACGATATTTATCTTCTATTAAGTTTAATTGCACTTTCGAAGCGGGCATCGAAAGGTGGGTAGAGTTTCAGTTTTTGAATTCTCGGTAGAAACTTAAAGCTCGGCGCGAATTAACACCATCGTCGAGACATTTTAAAGTTAACTAATTGTAATTAATTCGTGAAATAAAACTGAATAATTTGAAAATATTTATCGTATCGATCGACTAAACCGTGTACTGCACCAGACAGATAACTTTTTTAAAGAAAGGACAGTTAAGTTTGTTTAATTAACGTGAATATAATTAATTTTAATTAAGGTGTTTTCTCATAATCTTAATGAAGAGTTTATTAAGTGTAGTTAACTAACAATTACTCCTTATTGCATTTTTTATGTAAATTCCATTAGGCGTATACTTTAATTAATAGAAATTAATCCACGGAGTGTATAACCGGCGACAATAAATGATTTCAAATGTAATAATTATGTCAATCTATAACATTTTCATAAACTTGTAATATAAAATGCGATTAAAATATACATTTTGTATTTAATAAATTTATTATTGATAATCAAAGAATAAACTCTTTCCTCTTTTTGACGCAATAAAGATATTACAAACTATTTTTATCCTGTGTTACCTACACTGTGATACGGATCTAATCACTATAATTATCGTCTAACAGTAATATACAGAGAGTACACACGCGTATACGAAGTGTGCCGAATACTATTCTGTGTGTCACATAATATAGTAAACCGTATACTTATTGCGTCGCAATGTACCGAATCGTGTACGCGCTATGACGTCCGCTGGCTTACTGCTTTAGAGAATTCGTGATCGAATCCGGACGAATCGTTCCAATTTTTAACGGGCGGTAAGTCCCGGATAGTATGGCCCTTTCGGGTCAAATCTATAGCCAGCGTGAGAAACGATCCTCTCGGTGCCCATTAGATGGAAATAAACTAAATAAGTGGGAGATTCGGTGTACTTTTGATGGAAATTACACAAACTTACGCGTATGCCACCCGTCCGAAAATTACGAAATGGGTGGAATGGTTTGCGGGTAACGGTTACGATTCGTTACAAACTGGTAGGGATTATAAAAAGCATTATGCAATGCTAACGTTTCGACCCTCGGATAACAGACCATTTTTATTTCTGATCTGTTGCGTAGCGAATCGTACTGTTTGTAAAGTACATTAAACTATTTTCTATAAAGTTCGGTACTCTGCCCCGCGTATTACTTCTTACTACAATCGAGGGGGTTGAATGCAGCATTTAACGCAGCGGTTAGTTTATACATATAAGGGTGTCTCGTTATCTCGTGTCGTCAAAAATTGTGCGCCACTAGCTCAAAATGGTCGCGAATCGTTGCTATCGACAACGGCAAAATGGCATCTCGTAAACGTCTCCTAAACAATACCCGTTGTAATTAATTTAATCTTAATGGTAATTAACGTCTCGAAGATACAGATGACATTGTGTGTCTCCATTTAAGTTTTCTCGGAATTATGAAGCGGCTATACAAATATGGGGTAAAGAAAAATGCCCTTTCTATAAAAATTATTTCGTGTAATTTTAATTATTTAAAGAAAATGAATACATCTCTACATCGTTCCAAAAAGAGAATGCACTATTTAATGTATATTTTTTACAGGATGATGAATAACGAAGATAACTGGACAAGGAGTAACGAACAATCTCATTGCCATCGTCACGCGTCGAAATGCCTTAAAATTTTTCAAAGATACTTCTTGGTCCTTTCGTTCGGCTTTATATTCGTTGGGTTGCTGAAAATTTTCATCGATTACGGATACAAAAATAGTAACAAGTACGGACTCCTAGGACCCGTAGCCTTAGCTACAGGATTTTCCTTTCTTCTCATTTCGATCGTGTTGAAGTGCATCGAATGCAGCATCCCCGAGTCTACGTACCGCATCCTTGATGACGAAAGCGTATTCTGTTCGCAAGCATCCGAATATTCTTCCGTGCAACATTGTGTAACGCCCAGCGCCCCTTTTCCGTCCACGAGTCTCTACAATCCTCAATACCACGAACGCGGTAACAGAAATCTACCAAATTACTCCGATTTGCCACCATCTTACAGCGAACTCTATCCCGATAACTAGTGACGTTAAATGAACAATCAATGACGATTACTGATGATCGTGTCTCGTATCGCCTGCACCGCGTTGATCCTCGCCAACCTCGAAGAAATCCTAAATATAAACTGGTGTTCTGTCCTATTAATCAAAACTGCAATGTTAATGATGCTGAATTACGAGTCTAACAGTAAAGTTCTTGAATAAATTCTCATGTCCAGTGACATAATCGTGCAGAAGATACCTTTTGAATTTACAGCAAGATGCAATAAACTTTCTAAATGAGAGATGCAATTGATCATTAATTAAATGTTTCTTTAAAAATATTCGTAATCAAATGTATTATTTTTCACATATGCGTGTTGCAAGATTTCCGAGTGAAGGATGCACCCAATTACCTAATTATCCAGCAATCTTGCGCAAAGTTAGTCCTAAAATTATGGCACGAGGATTTATTGGAGATTTGCGTAACGTCTAACGGGCCGCAAAATGCTATCGTACAAAAATGAATTGACTACTGAATCTTATACTGTAAATACGCGTAACGCCTAGCGCATTTTATCTGAAAGGAACAATCTTTACCATTTCCAGTTTAATATCGACTTTAACCTCCAGCACGAAGATAAATCCACAGTATCTATCCGAACAGTACGAGATAAAAGATAGATTTCAATGAATACGATTTCTATTTACTGTTATGAACGGTAACGATAAAATTCTACGTAACAAATGATGTAACTCGTTAGTTTTGCTGGCATATCCAATATACTTTTGTATGCTATCTTCTGGATGCAGACAATAGAGTAAATCGTTTTAGTTGTGTTACGATTTCTGTTTGTAACCACTTAAAATATTGAAATATTGAGCGGCGATCGAATGACTTATCATTTGTAAGAACGGATCAGGAACGTATCAGCCCCAGTGCATTTTCAGCCCATTCGGAGGAAAAGGTGCGTAACAGTTACGCTATTTTTATAGTTATGCAGTAACACATACTCTTAGATTATAGAAATTACCCTATTGTTACGCGAGAGATAAGGATTTGATTGTCTAATTTGGTACGCTAATTTATGGTTTTTTTTAACTCTTTCTGCCCTGTGGGCACTAAGAGGGCCTCATTTTGCAAGCCCATTATGGGTTCGGCCAGGCCCACAATGGGGCTGCCGGGTGGTGAGGGGCGGGGCCCCTCACCACCCGGCAGCCCTTGAATTAAAGTTTCATTCTTCAATACCACAAGAAGTTCACGAGAATAGAGTGATATTACACGGAGGATCTGGCAAATTATAATTAGGCAAAATTTGTTACGCGATTTGATATTCAATAATCTACTCGTTCATAATGTACAGTACTTCTGTTTAACAAATGCAATTCGAGACAATAGAACTCAATTCAATATCATTTGAAATGCTTTTTATTGTTCTACTAGAAAAGGGTGGAACAATACAGCGCTAACAGAATAGCTACAATTCTTGTACTGCAACTGCAAGCGATTTGATTTTTTTTTCTAACTGTTGAAATTGGAATTACATGTAGGAATTGCAATTAGAAATACAGATGCTAGTATCACAATCTATATAAGAATATGAACGAGTTTATCTAAAGTATAGAACACACACAATAGGTCTGGTGTACTGTACAATATGAAGGCAGACGAAATCCTATTATACGCACGTAGTTATAAATAGCGATAAGAGAAAAGAAAAATATCGAAAAATCAAAAAATTGAAAGTAAAATTAATTTATTTATATTTACAGATCATAATGAATAATGTATTAAGAACCAGAGGGCGATCGAATTTTCATCCAACGGCGGGATGTTTCCTCATGGGAGCTTTTGCCGTCTGTTGCTTGGTTTTCGGAGTCATTATGGCATTTGCGGGAAGCATCGTAATGGGCATCGCTTACGGAAAGGTCAACTCTCTGTACCCGACGTCCGGTTCTTTGCAGATTATAGGTCCGATACTCACCACCGTCGGTATCTTATCCTTGCTGACCTCGGTTCTGCTGCTGTGTATTGGTTCTCGCCTGGCCAAGATTCCTCAACATCTCAGAACCGAAGAAGAAACCACACTAACAGCTCCTTCCAGGCTGCCGTCCATATCGCACACGCAAGTTCCCGCTTCTCCCAACGCTTACTTCTCACCCACAGAATTTTCTAATCCTCAATACTTTGAACCGAACAACTGTACTATTCAACAGTATCCCGACCTGCCACCCCCTTATAGCGAAACCGATCCTACTACGTAATTTAAAGTTGTACAAAGACACACCTTTTGTAATTTTTATCATAAAGTTTAAGTTAAACTTTATTATATATTATATCAGGTCTTCGTGCAGCCTGAAGGGCCCACGTTGACGACTCGGAAAGGTTCGAAAGTGCTCCGGTTTTAAGTGAAGATTTGTTGGGATAAAGCATGATTTCTTCAAGTCAGAAGCCATATTTGGTATACAGAATCAATTCTTCGATATGTTTCCTCGATTAAAACAATGTAAATTTTATCAATTTAATACAAGATAAGAAAATATAACTGACTTAACTGACTCTGTATTGCTTTAATCTTATGGAACCAAAGTTCGATATGATTGAAAATTCTCATATCTGTTATCAACCTGAGAGATTTAATATTTATCTTCTTATGAAAAAAACAAGTTACTTCTAAATAAGGATATTGTAATGAAAATCGCTAATTGACTTGTTGAATATTGAATGTAATTACTTAAAATATTTAAAAACTAAAAATTTATCCATAGTTTTTCCTAAATGGTGGATCACAATCTCAAAAGAACTGAATATTTTTATCTGGATAACAGAAATTTCCCAATACACTGTAAAGAAATGTTATTCGTGTGTATAACTCTGCTTACAAAGTAACGGTTGCTCCTTTAGGTGAAAATTTGTAGTTGCAATTTAAACTTGGCACATAATCCACATCCCTTTCAAACTGTATTTTAAATACACAACCCAAGTTATATATACATAATTACAAGAGTCAGATATTGAAAAACAATTAAATCTGGCAATTTCTAATATACAGGATTGCAGTTTGACTCCTCCCGACAGACAAGAATGTTTGTATTTATCAATATTAAGGTGATTGCTCGAGTTTTGAGCAGACTTCGTTTTCTTAAAAAAAGTTAAAGAAAAAGTTTAGAGGAGGAGGAAACAGTCACAAATTATGGAAACTGTGTGATCTCTTGGAATCACCTGGTATGTCTGTTGTTATCGCGCAGATACTAAGATGGTGATAATACATTAAACACACTACATAATTCACAATATTAAATATAGTATTGTACTGAGGATTATGTGAATCGCATATTATGTTGAACAATCTCTCCGTGAAGAAAAGAACAAAATCTGATTCAATACCATTTGATTACTTAGGCTAATTCATAAAAAAACAATTTCCATTTAAATATTTTTCAAATTTTTGTGCAAGTGTTCATATTTCAATTTTTAAATGAATCAAAATAAACAATTATAATACACACATTATCATTTTGTAATAAATAACTATTGTATTAGGATGCATTCATAAAATTATATTTTCTGTATTAATGAATAATAGCACCAAAACAAATGTTTAAAAATGAATTGCCCTAGAGATAGTCACTGCGTAGAAGAAAACAGGTAAAATTTCATTGATACAAATTTTAAAGATTTTTTCCCTTTTAATACTATAATGGCTACTTCTATCGAGAGTCTGGCTGATTGGTTGTTCTCTGATCCGTTGTGAGTTAGACCCGTCCATAATAACGTAATTATTTACACATCGTATTTACACAAGCCTCACAACTATTTGTTACAAATCATTCGTTCCGNAGAATGAATTTAAATATTTTGAATGGACTAAAAATATTTTAAATATAATTTTATATCTTAATAATTTATTTAAGAATGGCTAACCTATATGAAACTTTTCTTTGCATAAGGAAGTGTTAATGTGTTCGATTTCAAATTGCGGCAACTTTAAATTTTCATACAATATAATTGGTACTGGTTTAAACCATTCCAATTGTAATTCTTCTGTAGTTTTGGAAACTGTAAGATAAATAATTTAAAAATTCAATTACATCACAATCAGGAAAGCATAATTCTAATGTATCAGGTACATGTCCTGAATATCACTACAGCAAATTCTCCTTTTGTAGTCACTTATGAAATTCCCCTATAAAATGGCAAAGTTGGATTTATGATGGATGAAGATGGAAGTGCCTTAAAGTGATATTTATTCCCATTCACGTAGCCAACAGAACATAAAGATACCACGTTCCTAAATTCAACATATTGTTTAAAGCACTTTAAACAGAACTGAGCTTTCTTGCTACAGTTTTTGGAACTATTTGCAAGGTATGTATTAAATATTTAACAGTATTCTAATTGAAGTTCTGTATGTCAAATTTTTCAAAACCCTACTAAGTGACTAGCTCACGCAAGTGGCAAGAATTATATAACCCAAAGGCGGTCAAATAAGCAAGATTTAACTGTACTTAATAAAATTCTTATATAGTTCTCTGTTTATTTATGTTATAAAAAAAAATTGACAAAACTAGATATATGATGCAGCCAAAGGATAAATGGCCAAGGCACTTTAGACATTGGCTTACCACTTTGGAAGACCTGGAATCTAATCTAAGCTACCATCCAAGAATTTTTCATGAACTTATCCAAGATACAAACCTTCTCCTTCACTACTCAGTTGCCCAACTGAAGCCCTGGCCAAATCCACAGTAGTATGATTAAAAAACAGGACTTCTTAGTGCACACAAATCAAAAAGAATTAAAGTATGAAAAAATTTATACATATCTACATTCTAAATTGTCTCGAAAACTCTGCCTAATGTGGACTGAAGGGTGGCCGAGTTTGTGAAAACGTCGGGTTATCGGGAATGGGGTTAAAAAAAAATAAGTACGAGTGTTTTTTCAGAAAATACTGTACTGTACTTGTATGTATTGTTTACTTGAGAATACAACAGAAAATAAACTGCCCAAATACCCTTAAACAAAGGAAAAGTATGTCCTTTATGAAGGCATAGAGCATTTATAAAAAATAAAAAAAAGGTATATGTGATATTTTGAAAAACTACCAAGACAAATTCTGAATCATTCATAAACATCCATCCTTTATTGTCTATTTAAAAAAACAAAATTATATTTCAAGATAATAAACACTTGAAATACTGTCAATACATTAAATAGATTCAAGTTGTGATTTGCTGCAGATAAAAGAATTATAAGTAGAATGCTGCTATACAAATTATACATGTTCAATCACACCAATGTAATTCACACTTTTTTTTTATACTGTTGTCATAAATAATACATTTATTGTTGAAAATACTGTTCCATAAATCATTTGTAAAATGATAACATGCAAAATATACTTATTTTTGCAATATTTATTTGGATTTCTGATTGTATCAATGCTTTCTTTCAAAATTAAACAAAAATAAAATAACACATTCCAATGCACATTCCATAGATGCAATACTGTACATCATTAAATTGGCCAAAAGCAAAATAGTCTACTATTTTTATATACAATATAGACTCTATTAACCCAAATTTCATCTCTTGGCATACTTTTGCACATATTCTTTTACTTTAGATTTAAATCCTTCCTGTAAAGAGTTCTTAAATTTAGTTTTTTTTTTACTTAAAAGTTAAACATAAAATCAATTAATTTCATTAGAAAAAATTATTATACAAAAGTTTTACCTTATCTTTTTGAAAATGTTCTGCAGCTTCATTGTTTAATGGATCTTCAAAATTTAATAAATCCTGCAAAAATTATTTACCAATATTCGTAACTATTCATTCAAATTAACAATAATTCAACATTTTATTTATTGATGTTAATTTCTTACTGTGAAAAGTGAATTAAGACCCCACACGACATCTTTTAAAGTTCTTGTAGGTGCCCAACCTGTAAGATACACGTATAAATAAGAAAGCATTATCTTATATTAGTATATTAAACATGATAAAAACTTGCAAAAGTTAAAGTAATACAAAAGTAAATGTATATCTATTAACTTTATATATACTGCAACAGCAAACAAGCCTAACAGTATTTAATACAAACACATTTATATTAACTATACTAGGTACAGTTTGTTTTCTGTCCACACATGAACTAAGAATTGAGTAGAACTGCAAGTAATTCATTATTATTATGCAACAAATGCTCAGCTGAAACTGTACCAAGTGCTAGGCTGGACTAAAATCAAAGTATACCTAACCAAACAAGTAACATTAAGCTGTATTATTGGAATATGTATCAACATTTAGAAACTTCCTAACAATGTGACTTGAGTTTGATATTGTGGCTTTCAATAGGTACAATAAATACCTTATCCTCCACATCCATCTTATTTCTTGAGTGAGTGATTTGTTGATTTTTTTTAGAGAAGCAATTTTACCGCATTCGTCAATGACAATGATGTCAGGTCTATTGTGATGAATTGTTTATTTGTGAACCAAAAAACACAACACCTTAATTTGCTGAGAAAAACTTTTAATGAAAAGCTAACGTTTTCAGCCAAATCTATTGGCCATCATCAGGCTAAGTTTTTCGAATACAAACAAAATAGAACAAAAATTTTAAATACAAAAAACAAAATAACGAATGAAATATATATATATATATTTCATTCGTTATTTTGTTATATATATATTTCATTCGTTATGATGGCCAATAGATTTGGCTGAAGACGTTAGCTTTTCATTAAAAGTTTTTCTCAGCAAATTAAGGTGTTGTGTTTTTTGTTTACAAACAAGTGCTGAGTGAGTGTACTATTGTTTATTTGTGATTATGATTCTGTAGTAGTATATTTTGTGTTCATTTTCTAATATTGCCTGTGGAGTATATTTGTAGTATGGTACCTGGATGTTTAATAATTGTGCTTCTATGCAAGCTCTTGGTAGCAATCTATATTAGCTACTTAATTATGTTTATGTAAATAGTCTGTGCTAAGATCTTTCAACCAAATGTTATACATTATATTGTTTCTGGCAGAATGTGGTATTTTCTGCAAGTCATTTGTGAGTGATGTATCCTTCAGGATGTGTTTTCTGTAGTTTTTAGTGTCTACGACCTGATCATGAATGGCAACCATAAAACCCTCAAGCCTCTCCAAACAGGCAGATCCTAGTCAGCCAGTAGTTTGATGCAGTTTTGTCAATATAATCTTGAACTAGATCACAGGAATGCCTATCATAAAGTGCCTTTTTGGACCATGACTGCTTAGTATGTATGTTTTTTTTGTGTTGAACTATGTCTAGATGATCAGACTAAGTTTAAACGTGTGTGGTTACTGTCTGCCAGAGTTATAGCTTTATGAAATCTTGATGTTTTTTCTGGAAAAACTCCTGCAGTGTCTGAATTTGTTTGTAGTGCAGGTTTACTATATTAGTAAGGCCACTGCCATGGCCATCTTCTTCATGAAGAGTTAGTTTTTCTACGGATGATTTTGTGTGATATTGTTTATGCTTAGTAAGTATTTGTTGTTCTTATTTCCCTTTGGAGTTGCTCAAGTTCTGTGGCTGTCCAGTGTATAACTCCAAAAAAATATGTGAGTGCAGAGACACCATATGTATTAATAGCTTTAATTAGGCTTTGCATTTAGGTGTGTTTTTAGTACTGTATGTAATCTGTTCTGGTATTCGAGTTCTAACTTTTTTTATCTGTGCATGTTCTGTAAGTTTGGCCTGTTGAAATCCTAAGTATTTGTAAAACTCACCCTCTTTCATGGACTCAATAATTTCTCCACTTCTGAGTACAAAGTGTCCTTTCTTCAGGACTCCTTTTTCAAATTTAGTGTTTTGCAACAGTGATGTTTTTGTAATGTTAACAGTATTGTTTTGTTGTGTCTGGTATCATAACCATGTATTTTGTTCAATGTTTCAGATAAAAGGTTAAGCACAAGGCAGAACCAAAGAGGATTCAAGGAATCTCCTTGAAAAATTCCTTGCTTGATGTGTATCTGATTTGTTTTTATGTGAGTGTTATAGAGGTTAAGATGTAATGTTCTCCAGAGGATCATTGTAGAACCAAGGAAACTAATAAGTTGGGGATGGATTTTATAGATGCGAAGTGTGGCCAAGTCTGGGACACTGTCAAATGCTTTTCTGTAATCGATGCATACCCTGTGTATATTTCTGTGTTGCTTATGAACTTCCCGTAGGATAACAGTGTCAACGAGTTCTTTGCAACCTTTGTGCTTTATTATTATTATGTTTGGTTCAGTGGGTTATACTCAGTTGACACCAGTGGCTGTGTACTATGCCAGATCAGAGTCAAGGCATAGCAACAAAAACAAAACTAAAATTATATAAGTGTGTCAGTGTCTGTATTCAGGAATTTCCTAACAATATGGCATGTATTCAATATAGTGGCCTTCTGTAGTGTGATGTATGGTATTTCTATTCAATTCTAATGTTCCCAGGCTTTTGTGTAGTGTGTGTGGTATCACACCTGTACAGGAGAGAACAACAGGTACAATAAGCACCCTTTCCATCCTCCACAGATGCCTTATTTCCTGGGCAAGTTCTGTGTACTTGCTAATTTTTCAGTGAATTTGTTTGTGTTTGTATATTGTGAGTGTTTGGAATGGCTATGTCTATAATGCACGTGATTTTATTGTGTTTGTCAATGAGTGTGATGGCTGGTCTGTTGTGGTAAATTGTTTTATCTGAGATTATGGCTCTGTCATAGTACATTTTGTGCGTATTGTTTTCCAATACTGTCTGTGGAATATACTTGTAGTATGGTTCATGGATGTCTAATAATTTGTGTTTGTTTGCAAGCTCTTGGTGTATTATATTTGCTACTTGATTGTGTCTATGTAAGTAATCTGTCTGTGCCAAGAGCTTGCAACTAGAAGTGATGTGTTGTATAGTTTCTGGCATGATGTAACATTTTCTGCATGTGTCATTTGTGAGTGTTGTATCTTTGAGTATGTGTTTTCTGTAGTTTTTAGTATTGATGACCTGATCTTGTATGGCAATCATGAATCCTTCCGTCTCCCCAAAGAGGCATTCCCGATCTAACCAGCTGTTTGACGCAGTTTTGTCAACAAAATCCTGGGCCAGATCATAAGGATGCCTGTCATGGAGTGCCTTTCAAGCCCATGATTGCTTCATGGTGTCTATGCTTTTTATATGTTGTGTCATGTCTGTATGATGTGAGTGTAAGTTTAATGGTGTGCTATTTGAGTCTGCTAGAGTTACTGCTTTATATAATTGTGATGTTTCTTGTTTCCTGTAGAAAAACTCTCGCAGTGACTGTATTTGTTTGTAGTGAAGGTTAACTATGTCAATCAGGCCACATCTGTCATCTTTATGTGGAAGAGTTAATCTTTCTGTGGCGGATTTAGGGTGATGTCGTTTATGCTTAGTAAGTGTTGTTCTTTTTTTTCCTTTGGAGTTGCTCAAGATCTGTGTGAATCCAATGTATAACTCCAAAAGAGTATTATTATTACTTCACAGATATCTATGACAAGAGGAATTACTGCTACCACAGCAGTGACATTGCCACTGGCATAAAAAAAAAAAAAAAGAAAATTGCAAGCACTAGGTGCTAGTGATCTTAGACATTGTCATGTTAACCCCACAGTATCTAAACATGAAGTCTTGGTCCCCCATTTATTATTACATTTTTGGATTCTTCACTGCAATTAATGTAAAATGACAATGTTAAATCAAAATCAACTGTTCAAATTTTGAGAATGAACTCAATTCTATAATCCACATAGAAGTGGCTTTGCTAATGCTCTGCTTCAAATATTTTATATTTTCTTAACTTATCAAGTTATTTAAATTAATAAAACAAAATTTAAATTTTCTGTTTTATATTCTCTACTATACAAGATGGTGACAAAAAACATAATTATTCATATATTTTATGAAATGTATAAGATGAATTCTTTTAATTAAATATTAAATAATATATTCAAAAATAATTAAACCAAGGTTTGACTGTGTAATCCTACAAACAACTTTTCTCAAAAAAACCATCTATCCAACAACTGACTATCTTTTCACATCAATAAATTGATTAATAGCCACTTTACCATGTAAAAAACTACAATTTATAACCTTTATGGCATGCAGTGTAAGTATTAATTAAACATAGTCATAAACAGTTCAAAGGAATTTTAGTATCATTTATGATAATTAAGGTATGAGTTTTTTCTTCTTCATAAGAAACTTTAGAATCATGCATAACATATTTACTTATTAGCTATATGTAGTGCACCTATTTAAACTTCAAAATTGTATAATTCAAAAAACAACTAAAATACTCATCACATCTCTTGCATTTCTCATAAACTTAACTTTTGCTCTTATTTATTTTTTTTAAACAAAATATGAATTCTATTACATGATTTCTGCAGAGATTTCTTAGAAATCGATATATATTATTTTCTTAAAATCTATGCTTCTGAAGATTTCCGAGTGAAATTTAGATTAATGGATAAGCATAATTTCATAAATGGATAAGCAGTTTCATAATTCATTATTTTACATTATTAAGGTTTAAAACCCAGACTTTTTCTATATTTTATTCTAAACTTCTCCTCTATTGTTAATGACTGACTTTACAAAAACTAACCTTTTACAAGTGCATGCTATAAATACAGACTCAACTCTAACTCCTTGAATGAATTAGACACAAATCAATCAAGTTGGACAAGTAGCCACACTTTCCAAAATATTAAGTTTCAACTGATTTGATTTCAATTTTAATTAATTGTAGTTTCAATGTAAAGGCCCAGAGTTTTAATTATTATTTTTAATTAACTGGCTACCCAGTATTCATAAATATTAATTAATATTATTATTATAAAATAAATTATATTAATAAATTGTCATTTAATTTAACTTAAGCATGTTTAAACACACATTCTTTAATGCCATTTATATTACATGACTGCCAATTAATGCAGTTTTTATTAATTAATTTGATTTAGATTCCATTTTGCACTGCATACCAAGAAACAGAAACAGTATCTTTCCCATATGTGCTTCAAAAAGTAATTTAAATAGAATCATACATTGATGAAGTCATCAATGTATGATTCTATTGTGACATCTAATGACGCCAGGCAATCATGGTGCCACTAACATCTGAATCGATAGTCCTGCCGTTCATTGGTCAGGTCATCAACTTAATATAGGAAGTAAGGAAGATGACCATCTGTGGCTGGCTCAGCTGAGTAGCTTGTTCAGAAACTGGGGCAATAAACAAAAAAGAGTTCAAAGTATTGTTTGTAAACTGAATTGTTTGAAACAAGAGGTTTGACTGTAATTTGGTCTTCTTGTTATATATTCATCAGATACTTTACATAAACTATAATAAGTTATTAATTTGTAATATTCTTTATTTATTTAACACAAACTGTGTAATTTATACATAACACTAGGCTTTCTTTGCATTCTTTATTCTTCTTTTGTTACTGATAAGTGGTTTGGGTTTATACCGCTCTTCTGTTGGCTTTTATTTCTTCAAAAAGCTGACAGAAGAGGGGTATAAACTCAAAATGCGTATTGGTAACAAAAGAATAAAGAATGTAAAGAAAACCTAGTGCCATGTATAAATTACACTTCAACATGTTGAATAAATAAATAAGAAGACAGACATCGTTTCATATGAAATTGATTGTAATATTCTTGTTATTTACTTTTATCAACAATGATATTAATAAGATGGAACATTCTTTGAAGTGCAACAATGTAGCTGTTATTAAACTTATCGTTTAACTATATTGAGGAATAATTTATTAAAGGGTTAATAAATTTATCTATTTGCATATTTTGAGTAATTTTATTTATTAATAACAAAGAATAAGTATAATTGCTGCAAAGTAATAATTTATGTAAATTATTACTTGCAGCAATTGTACTTATTAATATATTTTGTCTTCAGAAAAATGGATAAAAATTACAAACAGAAAAACTTTGTTAATCCAAAAATGTTTAGTTATTAAAATTAAAATTTTAAAACAAACTTATTTAACTGTATACATAACATTATATGTTTTGTTTAAATTTTCACATCTCTTAAGTAATTATTATTATTGTTTAGAATGGTCCACAAATGGCTAAAACCACCAAATACTGGCCACATGGAGTTTTTCAAGTTTTTCTTCACATTTGTAACACCTAAGTAGGGGGCCTAATTTCCCTTCGAAAGTCCTGCCAGGAAGTATTCCCTCCTGGCAGATTGCCCAAGTGTTGCATTGCCATATTCAAATCAATCCCATTGTTCAGAATATATCTAGCAAGGTAAATTCCTCTTCTCTAGCAGAAATTTGACTTTATCTGCATATTTATGTATAAGTGAATTTATGCTTTGTATGCCTATTTATAACTGTACATTATTATTAACCATCCAACTTGTTATACTCTATGCAATTTAAAGCCACATAAACTGTTAATCATTATTGAAGAAATTTTATATTTATAAATGTTCAAAATAAAGTAAGCTTCTTATAATATATATTAGTTCAACCTGTTCCATTAACAATCTTAAAACATTAATCTTATTTATTTATTGCATACAAAAGAAAATGTCATAACACAATTGATATCCTCCACAAAAATAATGCCCATAACAAAAGATTAAAAGGATAATCAGTATACATGATAAAAATATACATAAATAAAAACAAATGATTATATAATATAACTAGCTGTTACCCACGACTTCGCCCGCGAAAATTTTGCAAGCGAACCCCATTTATATTCAGTATTTCAACAACCATAGTAATTGTTATATAATACCTACCACTGAGAATGATGAGAATTGCCGAGAATCAAACGAACTATTTTCAATTTGATCAATTTTCTGGGACATTTACAATTGTTCTATAATCGAACCAATATGCAATAACAAATTCGAATTTAAAACGGTTCGAACATTTGGAAGAAACATCGAAATATATAAAAATATTTATAACAATGTCTGAAATGTTATTAATTTAATACACGTAAGTACTCAATGAAGACTAAATCTGCTCCCTCTCCCACCCGCGGGGGAATTTCGAAAAATCCCTTCTTAGTGTGCATTGCCATGGCGTACCCTACTAAAACGCAGATAAAACAAAAAAAATTGCATCTAAAATAGTATAGTAGAAGCCGTTCTTCTGGTTAAGCCTTAATGCTCTCCCTCTCTCCCCCGCAAAGGAATTTCGAAAAATCCCTTCTTAGTGTGTGTTTCCATGACGTACGCTAACTGTCTACCAAATTTCACCTCTTTAGGTTAAGCAGTCTGCTCTGGGTGATGATGAATCAGTGAGTGAGTCATTCATTCAGTCAGTCAGTCAGGACAAGCAATTTTATATATTTAGATCATTTACAAATGTATTTAAAATGTAGAGAATCTTCATGTAGAGATTGTTCCACACAGCCCATATTCTGAACAGACTGGTAGAAAAATGATGTGAAGGAAGTGGAAAGTCTAAAAGACAGGGTAAAAAAACAAGTTTGGTTACAAGTAACTCGTGGTGGAACTCTTAGACACAGCCAATCAGAACAAATGGAATCATGTAAGTATTTGTATAAAAATTAATGGTCAAAATATTTAATACATTCTAAAACAACTATCTAGAAAGCTAATAAATTATAAAAGGTCATTTGAGAATCAGCCAGTAAATTTATTTTTAATACACTTAAAAATTGTTATTTAATTGTAAATGACATAAGTTTTAGTAAAGTAAAACATACATTTTGAATTTTGAATTTATGTTCATGAAATAAAATATTAATCTGTACTTAACTGTTTTCATTGCATCCTATCTATAAATTATTCTTTTTGGTATCAGTACAAACAGAGGTTGGTGAATTAAATTAATTTCGAAAGGTGATGAGTAAAACATAGTTGGAAATCTCTAGTTCATATATATTTATTATAATGTATATGATGATGTGATGTGAACCAGAGTTACTATTAAACAATATACACATACTATATTACAATGAAAATAATTACTCAATAGGAGTTCTGTTATTAAATAAAACAGCACAACAAATTATAACCTTACCTTTTTTGGATATCTTTGTTAATTATTTGATTATATATCTTTAGCCAAATAAAAATAGTTACCTAAGCCATCTATAGAACTCTCTCGTAGCAAACTCAAACAAATATCACCATCTTCACTAATGTTTGGATGCCATAACCGCGTAGTACATTTTACCTTTGGAGGCTAATAATAAAATAAACATTGGAATGTTTATAACAACTTAATAAAGATACATTAATTTTTTATACAACTTTAAACATATAAATACAAACAACTTTTGGTTGTAATTCATGTCTTAAAGAGCACATGAAAACTAGATGTCTAAAAGACAACTATAGTCATATGATTTAAAAGGAATTTGTTCAGAAAGCTAATAAATATGATAATCTCTTACTAAAATAGGAAAGTTTTGATTTTTTTTTTCAGTGTGTATGTTATATTTCATAAAATATTATTTATAACATTAAATCCATAGACAAAACAGAAATATAGCTGATAAAACTTAATTATTGCAAATGGTTTTGATGTTACCAAAATTAAAAGAAAGTGCCATTATGCAATAACTCAAAAGTTATTGCATGGTAACATTTTCTACCATACTTGTTTATTGGCTGAAAATGGAGAAAAGTCTGAATTTGGCTTGTAAAAATTTATGAGTATCAAAGTATTTATACAAAACAGTGATTTGTACAGAAGTTGAATGTCCAAAAGTCGAGGAGAGTCATTACTTACGAAAAGTATTAAAATAAATATATTTAGTTCAATAATTTGATTTCAAAACATCCAGTTGAAGAATAACATTTAGATGATTCTATTAGATGATTTTATTATTGCCATGTAATAAATAAATTTAAACACTATACTAAAAGAACATCTCAAAAATTTCAATATCTGTTAATATATATATATAATAAATATTAAATATATATATACAGTCGACCCTCCTATAACACGGTAGATATGTTCCAGTTTTTATGAATCCATTTTCTACGAGTCCAGCCAATCACGGCCCGGCACGTATGCAGTTTACGGACTACGGCTGTTTGAAAGGTTTCTTCCATAAAATTAATCGATTCTAGACTAATTCAACTCAACATTTCCAAAATACATATAATTTTTTGGGAATAATCCATATAAACTATGCCATAAACAAAAAATTGTAGGATTACTTACTGAGCGTGCACCATTCAGCTATGCCATTGCTTAAGCTTGTTTGTCGTGAAGCTTGTCATTGAATGGCACTCGCATGCTTCCTGATAAATTATTTTTTTGCGAAAAATTTGCTGAACTTTGGAGACATCATTAATATAAATATAATTTCTATGGACATTAAATAATAAATGGTTTTCAGTAGGTTTGCTGCTCGTTTAAACTCAACGGTTTGTACAATATCCGCTATTGGTCCAGATTCGACCAATCCTGTCGCAACACAAGTCGGCGATGACGTTTTACTGAATTATACAAGTTTTTTTAGCATGTTTGTACTAATATTGTCGCAATTTTTTAAAATAAAAACAAATATTTGTCATCATAGAATGCATAGTCAAATGCAAAGTGTTTTGGTATAAACACAGTAATGACTCATGGCACATAACATAGAAAAAAAGCTTTAATAATGAATAATTACAGAACTTGCTCAAAAGAGCAACAACTGACATTTTGCATACATTTTAAAAGGTATCTTGCACATGGCTGCAGCAGCAACACTAATTCTAATGAGGAAGTCCTCGGTTCTCTGCACATGAAATGCATATTGGCCTTCTTAGCATTGAAATAATGATTCATCTCTTCAAACTACTGAAGTTGTGAATTATCGTGTGTGTGAAAAATGAACTTTTATACGCTTGCCAGAAAGCACCCTCTATTGTCTTTGCTGCTCTAATTTGCCTATGCATTCTATGATGAGAAATGATTGTTTTGATGTGTTCTTCTATCCCTTAAAGTTTGTCCATATATTTTGAAACTCCCCGTATATCAAAATGTTAAGATTTAAAATCATCTATGATATAACATTAACAATATATATTGCATAGTTATTTTTTGTGGTTTTTTTTAATGTTTCATACCCATTTGATAGTGAAAAATTGTTTGAGAAAAAAGTATTTTTAGAAAAATTAAATATTTTTAAATTTTCAAACTTTATTTTGAGTCCAGAAAGATGCCTCTGTCAATCATTTTCCTAACCCGACACATCGCAGAACAAAACAGTCCATTTCAAACCACTTTGATAAAAGTGGTTTGAAATGCACATGCTAAACTTCCGCTCATGCTAATCACTTAAAATTAGGTGCAAACTTTTATGCAGCATACAGTATATAAAGTAGATTTAACACATTGCAAAAATATTTTAAATTATAATTAAAATGAATTATACTGAGTAACTAAATAAAATTTTATTCAATAATCTTACCACCATATTATAATCTTCTGGAACTTCTATACTAAAACTAAAGCATCCTTCTTCCCAATAACCTTCATCAGGACTGACAACTAAACTGAATTTATGAAGTTCATCTGGATTTTCAAAGGTGACTTCACATGTAGATGGCAAATTACTATGCATATCTTGAACTTCTATATTTTATAATATAATTTTTAAATATTTTTCATGTGATAATCTGTTTTATAAATAAAGTTTAAAAATCAAGAAATTTTTTAAAATTCCAATTATCTGATAATATTCACTAGCTAAAATATGTATAAATTCTTTAAATATAGCTTTAAATCCAACTTTTACTCCAAAAATTAATTCAATAAAGCTATACAACTATAAAGCCAAACAACCACTAGATTGCATCAGCTACTTCCACAATTATATTTAATTAATTACTAAATAATTTATTACTAGAGGGAGGTGTTAAGTGTCATCTCTTATTGAATTTAACAAGTAAAATGACAAGGCCATTTTTGGGACAAGACTATGTCTTGGAGACTTAGTGCTCAACTGTGAAATGTTTTCTAAGGAAAAGAGAAAAATGAGCACTAACCAATGAGGAAAAGCTGACACTGGTACTTGGGGTTCTAGTGTAGATTACAGCGGGCTTCATTGCCACTGTGGTTACGAAAGGTTGCATTGTCACAGGCCTGTTCTTGGCCACAGTAAGTAGGAAGATATCTGTACCCGAATTGTCCCAATGTTGCTCTTGTCATTTCACCATCCTGCAAAACAACAACAGCAAGAAATATATACACATAACGTGTGTCACACATTTGTCAAAATTTGATTTCAAAATGTTTGCATTTCGAAATTCGCAATGAGCTAATCATGCACAAATCTTGCACTAGTGCCTGTTTGTAGAAACAGTGTTGCCATTTTGTATTTTATTTTGACTCGGTTCTTGGTCCCTCCGACTACCTACAAGTCTGGTTTTTTTTTATGTGCGCATGATTTAAACACCAAATATTCTATGCCAAATTGCAACTCCTGACATGTACTCCTTCATACGTCTAAGGTGTCCAGCTGTTGACAGCAGTGTGTTTTTATAGACAAGACATAATTTAATTATAATTATTGATGAGACTAATATGTATTAAATAATTTAGAATATTCTGGAAGAAAAGAATCAGCCCAGAGTGGGACTCAAACCTGCAACTCCTGCTTACCATGTAGATACATTGCCATTTATGCTACCCAAGTCTCCAGTCTGATCTCCTCTTCCAATAATTCTGATCTCCTCTCTGATCTCCAAAGTCTGATCTCTTCCAACTCTTGAGCAATGGCCGGCTAAGTGTTGTGTGTAGAAGTTTATTGGACAAAGTGCTGAAATTAGCACCGTATGTAACCAAAGATGGTCATATCGTATTTAAATGTGTCTGGAAAAAGAGATCGGACTGGAGACTCGAGTAGAATAAATGGCAATAAACCTGTATGGTAAGTGGGAGTTGCAGGTTTGAGTCCCACTATGGGCTGATTCTTTTCTTTCAGAATACTCTAAATTATTTAATACATATTAATTTAATTATAATTATTAAATTTAATAAGAGATGGCATATAATGCCTCACTCCCTCTAGTAAAATTATTCAGTAATTAATTAAATATAATCGCAGAAAAGTAGCCTGATGTAATTGGGGGTTGTTTGGCCTTATAAATTTATCAGTTTTTATGATGTTTGTACAGCTATAAAACTATTGTATCAAAAATCAGTAAAGGGCTTGCCTGTAAGAAGCCTGGATATATAAAAATAAATTTTGAATATGAAATTAAAAATTAAAATTTTAAAGTAAACATTTAAAAATCAAAAATTTGATATAATTTTAACTATCATTGTTTATTCCATAAGGTGGCATTAAAAATAATTCTAAACAAAATATCACCACTCAAAATAATGAAAAACAGAATTTAAAAGTTCTTATTACAATGTATAGCGTTCTTTAATATATTAGTCCTCTAACCATGTAAATTTACTTTCATTGTAAAAAAAAAAAAAAATGTCTAGCTTATTATGTTTGTGTAATAATTGAATGACTAATAGTTTTAATCAGCAATATTGTTTAGCCTGTGAACCATCATTAGTTTATAATTAATCTAAGCAGGTAAATATTTATATTTTAGATAAATTTGTACATCACAACAAACCTAACCAAAATACGAGGGCTGTTTAAAAGAGTATCGGACCTTTGGTTGGCAAAAATACATTTATTGATTTTGAGGTACAAAACCCTAATCCCCTTCAAAGTAGTCTCCTTGGTAGTGTATACACTTCTGCCAGCATTCCTGCCATTGCTGGAAACACTGCTGGAATGCATCTTTTGAAATGGCCATCAGCCAGTCCGTCATATTCCGCAGGATGTCTTCTCCTGACTAAAATTGGGTTCCTTTTAGCGGCATTTTCAGCGTGTGAAATAGCCAAAAGTCACACGGAGCCATGTCGGGAGAATACAGAGCGTGACAAACCACAGGAGTATTGTGTTTGGCGATGAAAGCCCGAATCAGATGCGCAGAATGGGCGGATGAATTATCACGATGGAGCTGCCAAGTTTTGATCGACCACAGATCCGATGGTTTGCATCGCACAGCATCGGAAAGATGATGAAGGACCTCCTAGTAGTACTCCTTTGTGATGGTTTGGCCTTGTGGTGCATACTCACGATACACCACCCCACAAGAGTCAAAAAAACTGTCAACATAACCTTGATATTGCTGTGGACCTGCCGCGCTTTTTTTGGCCTCGAGGATCGTCCCCAAAAGCCTGCTGAATCTTGCGAATGGTTTCCGCTCGGGTATCGCCAAGGTTTTTGGCAAAATTTGATGTAATATTGCTGCTCACGTTGTTCAGTCATTTTCCAACTTAGTGGAATCCGACAAGAGCTCGCTACATGTCCTCACTCATAGGCCGACTGCCAGCGACTGATGCTTCCTGCAGGTGGGAAAAAATTCAGAGCTGTGCATGACTGTCCGCTCCACAACTCCACTGAAAGAGGCCTCCCGCGCATCATTGGTTTACGCGGAAAAAATAAAAGTCTGATACTTTTTGAACAGACCTCGTATTATTTCAAGTTTAAATAAAATTTAATCTATAAATTATTTTTATTTTGAAGCTGAAGTTATGATATATGTATTCAACATTACCAAAATATTAGACATGCAATTGTGACTATATTTTAATTTTTAGTACCTGTTAGTTTTACTACATAAAATAAATAAATAAGAAACCACTTCTAAAAGAGAGTCAAAAGTTCTAAACAAAAATAATTCTGTTTGTTTGAATGCTCAATGTCTTTCTAAACATCTAATTTCATAATAAAATATAAATTATCTAAAAGAACATTTTATCTAATAACAGCTTTTGACTCTGAAATTTATTAGTGATAGTGTCTTACAACACACAACAGAGTCATTAGTCAAAAAAATATAACAATTAAAAAAGTATTTTATCTATTATAAAATCTAATTACCTAATTATAAAATATTTATATATTTAGAAATACAGAAAATGCAAATTTTTACTTTTCTTATTTGAAAAATAGTAATATACCTTTAACTAGTAGTTTATCTCGTATAGATATGCGCTTTCCTGCCGTTAAATCATTATCTTCCTGATGATCTTCAGATGACTTTTTCATTTTTTTTGATAGAGTAATCATATTTTTAGATCTTTTATCTTACAGGATGGCTTCTGTAATAAATATTTCACAATATAAATATAAAATTTGTTTAGAATTTTTTTATCAATAGTAAGTTAATATCTAGTTATTCAGGTTTTATGATTTAATCAAGTTACATTTTCTATTTAAATTTCTGTTGGATTTGCTTAAAAGCATAATTATGTTCTTGTTCCTAAGAATGGCAAATAAAATATTCATCTTTTAAATAAAATGTTATCTATGTAACAAAATTTCATATGAAACACATTACAGTACTCAATGAAAATATTCTTATCACTACTTTAAACAAGAGGTTATCCTTTATAAACTACAATGGTATAAATCTATGAATTTAATTATTCATTTTATTTTTTGATTCTATCACTAACATTGATAGAATCAAAAAAAGTAAAATAATTATCAACAAATGCTATAAAAGTAAGTAACAAATTAGAATTTTGAAGTATACTTAATAATTTACATATAACTGAACAGAAAGACAAATCACAACCAGACAATCTGCTGAATTATTGGCAATTATCCTTTTAATAGTCTGATAATTCAGCAGATTATCTGGTTGTAATTAGTTAAAAAACCTGAGTTATTGAGTTGTTTATACAGAAGGATACATCTTGTAACATTTTAAGTTAAGTGCATGACACTTTAATATCTTGCTGATTCCCACTGGTCCACTGGCATAATGCTAACTCAATCCCCCATAAATATTACATAATACATCAGAAAAAAAAATTTTAAAATATATACCTATTGAATATTAGCTATTTATTTACTGTGTATAAATAAGTAAGCATTGGGCTGTAAGTGCACATTTGAACAAGCAAAAGGAATAGCTGGAATTGTGTTGATATGTTCCTGCTTAGCAGATCAAGTAGAATTTAGAAAAAAAGAGTAAGTATTCAGATTAGGTTTTTCAGTATGATCATCATCCATGAAGAATTATAGTAGTTATCTGACTATTATTAAAAAAAAAAATACTTTAAATTATATACTTTTTTATACTTTTGCACTACAGAAATTAGTCACCTGACATGACAAGAGAAATGGGTACAGATGACAGTGCTCTTTCCAAAAAAATAATCTGTTAATGGGTGCCAGAAGGTTTCAACAACTGGACTCTTGGGTTAGTGACCTGGTCAGTTGAGGCAGATGGACAAAAATGTTGTCTCCTTGAGGATTAAAGATTTCTTCTCATGTAGCCCATCCTTTCCATCTATCCACATAGATAATCTGCACAAGACTATAACTTATAATGCAGGCAGATGCTTTCTCTCTGTCCACTGCAGTGTTCAGTAAACACTTACATTGACAATTTTTTTTATAAAAGTTTATACTATGGCCAACATACCTATTCAATTCATTAAGTATTACCAATATCAAAACCATTATCAAAAGCTACATTAAATATATCCAAATAATAAATATAAATAAGTTTGGTCTTAAGATAAAATGATAATTTACAAATGATATGATACTAGAAATATACAGCCATTTCAAAGCTGTCAAAACTACACAATAATTTCAATTTATTAATACAAATATTTAGAAAAATATTAGTGTGAAGTCACTTTAAATCCGTAACTGTCAAATATTGGCAGCTATGTTATCAGTTAACTGTATGAGCTATGTAAATAAGATTATCTTGGATACATTAGAATTAACATCTGACTCATATGTTAAAACAAATGTTCAGTTATTTTACAAGATTAAAACACAATTTTGAAATATTTATAATCATATTAGGAACACTTTAACTTTACATGAAAATTATTTTTCACATTTTATTTAAAGTTAATCTCATTGGTAAGATGGTAATATAACATCATATTTCAGTAATTTGTAAAATGTCAGCTTTGCTCAAAATCAGAAACAAACATAAGCAAACAGGCTGATATAAAAGTTTAGCAAAATAAGGAATAAAAGTTTAAAGTTTACATTTTTGTTTTTGATAAAATATGACAAGACTATCAGCAAATAGAAAAGTTATTCAATAAAAAGTTTAGCAAATACATAGTTCTTTGAGAGAGATAAATCATATTAAAGAAAAATAATCAATTAATACTACTTAGAAAGACATGAAAACCTGCTACTAATTACATTACTCAAAATTACTTAACATCCTGTTCTATAACTATTCATAAATATAAAACTCTGCAAATACAATAAAGTTAAAAAAATCCATTTTGGCAACAGCTGTTAACATAGCTAATTTCAAGCTGTCATGTAATGTGTGTAAATTTTCACAGAAATTTAAACAAATGGAACTAAAATCTTAATTTTGACACCATCTTAAGTAGTCATTTCAAACTTATTTTTATAGTTATTACACCATAGCATATTTTCAATATAAGGCCCCTTTCTATTGGGTTGTTCAGAAAGTAATTTCGTTTTTTTACCACCAAAAAATTAGTTGTATTCTTACCTGCCAATTTCATTTTAAACCATATTGTCATTATACATTTTGACAGTTGACATTTCAAAGTTTATTTGTAAAAAATTTTGTTTGNTTTGTTTTTTTTTTTTTTTTTGTGTCCCATCAAATATGGAAAATTGAAAGCAGCATTTTCAGCATATTTTGCTTTTTTATTATCAGAAAATAAAAAAATGCTGTTCAAGCAAGAAATAAATTGTGACATGTATGGAGAAGATGTGTTGACAGAACAACACTGCCAAAACTGGTTCATAAAATTTTTGTTCCAGCAATTTCGATATTGAAGATGCACCACATTCTGGAAGGCCAATTGAAGGTCGAAGCTGATTAAGACAAAATAAAGGTATTGACTGAAGCAAACTGCCGAATAACAACACCAGAAATTGCAAAGAGATTAAATTTGAATCATTTATTATCACTTGAAACAACTTGGTTTTGTTTCAAAACTCAATATATGGATTCCATATGTTCTTAAAGAACGAGATGCTCTCTTTGGTGGGATTTTATTTTTTGGGCTTCTACCAAACAATTCTACAATTGATTCAAAAGTGTACCGCTATCAAGTGGACAAATTGAGTAATACCATCAAACAGAAAAGGCCAGAATTGATCAACAGAAAAGATGTAGTGTTTCACCATGATAATGCCAGATCACTCACAAGTTTATTAACTGGTCAGAGACTTTACAGCTTGGATGAGATGTATTACCACACCCATCATATTTGCCAAATCTAGCACCCTTGGATTATTACCTGTTCGGTCTTTACAAAATTTTTTAAACAGCAAAACATTTACTTCAAATGAGGATGTCAAAAATCAATTTAGTAAGCAATAACTAAAAGGTCAAAACTTTTATGAATGTGGAATCATGCTACCACCAGAAAGATGGCAACAGGTATCTGACCAAAATGGTCAATATATAATTCAATAAAATATTTATATATTACTAGCTTACCCATCGTGCATTGCTGCGCTCTCAGAAGAAAGGAAATTCAAGCAAACTCGTTATGATAAAATTCAATGTACATTTTATCATTTTTATTGAAACTTATTATTATTCATTTTCATCGGGAAAACATTTCAAAGTGTCGTTTCAATTCTATTTATTTATTGGAGTGCTTGTGGATACACGATATTTTTTGTTTTTCCATCTGGTGCATACACGAATAAATCAGAAGGTTTTCCGACGTGCGAGCTGGCCACGTACAGTTGTCCATGCAAGAAGCACGGATTCTCCAAATTTAGCCCACACACTTGCAGCAATTGTCAAAAGTGCAATATTCCCCATTTTTATATATTTGTTTTAATCCTTTATAATTTTAATTATTTAATTGCTCTTTCCTCTCTTCCTTGGCACGTGAAATTTCTGATAGGTGAATAATAAACCGTTTTATTGTAATTTGTCTTTTTAAATTATTTTGAGTCGATATTAAAATTTGGAAAAGGGAATCCCTAGATCGGTAAAATAGGCGAATTTCCTGCTACAACTTTGGTTGTTGTTCGGGATACAGTTAAAGTTTTAACGAAGTTTGAGCGAATACGTAATTAGCAAAAAATAGTTGAAATAAAGTGATTAAACAAAAATTATTACAAATATCGTAAATAACAGTTCACAAATGCATATATAAAGATATTTTTTGGAGGAGGGAAATGGTCTTCACAATTTGAAATTGATCGAACACACAGTAAAATGCTCATATACACTCGCGCCATCTATCATAGGATAAATGTACTATGCCAGAAACCTTCGAGGTAGTGTATTAAAGAACTTCCCAAAGTTTCATGGCAATCGGATAAACAATGTGGTAATGCATGAAAGACAGACACACAGACATACATTCATTTTTATATATACAGATAAAAAAATTCTTGTTTTTTCCATAGGAAAAAACAAAATTACTTTCCAAACAACACAATATTTAAAATTGAATAAAACAGATCATAGTTTCTAAAAAATAGATAATAAAGATAACAATGTTAAAAATTCAATAAAAGAGGCTTAATGTTTATTTCAGAAGTCCATGATATTAAGCATTTTTATGATACAAAGTTATAAAAAAAAATCATCAAAAAAATAAGTGGGTTTTAGATACTTAAGATAAACTGTTTAACTCTATATTTGGAAAAATGAAATATTATTCATTAATATAATTAAAACTAGAATAAGATATTCTAAAACTTAAGCTGTTTGAAACTTTTATGATGTCTACACTGGTATGGTACTGTACTGTACATGAGCTTTGCCAGACCAAAGTATACCAGTCAAATTAGTCTTAGTACAAGGTTATTGAGCACATATGTCAGTAAACAGTCAATAATATTCATATGGTAATGCAATAGCTTAGCATGTAGATTTATGCTGCAAAGGAAAGCAAAGACAGGTTCAAGTTAAAAAGAAAAATCCACTGCAAATTGGATTGTTCTGTGCTATTAAATAGACTACAAAACCCTATGTCCTTCCAGTAACTTGGTTCAAGTTAGTTACTATTCCCAAGCAATTTATTCAGAGATGCACAGAAACAAAAAACAACCATTTGTCCATGAAACTATTTTTTTTTTGTTTGCTTAACTGAAAATTTTGTAA